GTGCTCTAACTTGTAAACAGCCTTAACTTATAAAAGTGAAGACATAGGATAGCCTAATAAGTAATAAGATAACCCCAATAGAGCTAAATAGAAATAAAAATTCAGTCTTAACAGTGATAAAATGCAACAAGATTTATTACAAGTTCACATTTGACGTTTTTCAGGTTCTTTTACGAAAGAAACTGAAACTGGTTTGTTGCAAAACAAGAAAGGATGTTTATTATAGCAATGACTTTAAATTTTCTTCAAAAAACTCAAGATCTGGCTGTAAACTTAAAAACCTGCTGCAGCAGGGAGAACTGTTTCCTCTTTCACGAAATAGCCAATCGTAGGAGAGCCCTTCTAGCCAATCAGAGGTGAGAAAGGCGGGACCTTCCTTGGACACCATGGTCCGGAAGTAGATGGGCGTGACTTAGACACTGAGAATAAGAGAATAAAACTGTAAGGCTTTTGCATTCAGACAGTTCAGACATCAGTTCTGATTGCTTCACAGCCGGACAGGACATGGTTAAAAATAAATAAATAAAAAAAAAACTCCCCAAAACAAGTTCTGTTGGCGGCTGGTGGACAGAGGGAAGACCGTTTGCCATTCTAGCCAATCAGAGGCGAGAAAGGCGGGATCTTCATTGAACATTTACGATTCCAAATGACGCTGACGCGGAGAGTGACGTAAACATGCTACACGATGCATGTTAGCAGAATAGAATAACTTGTGTTTTTATCATTTACGGTTAGTTATACTTGCGTTAGAACAGGTTTCTTGCTTTCTGAATAAAATGGAGACAGAAAGTCGTCCCAAAAAGGTAAGTTCAGGCCATAAAACGTTCGGATTAAGCTTTTACACAAGCTAATATTAGCTACACCGCTAAGGAACGTATAACTTACGTCAAACAAAACAGTCGATCTTAAAATTGAAAAGTAAATATTTGGCAAATTAACTCGGGATATGGTGCAGGATATAAAAGGATCATTAATAAGCACGTTTGAAGAGTCTAAGCATTTCAGCTAATTTTTGTTTCTTCAACATTAACTTAAGTCATTAGGTCTGAAACCTACACATCTGTTCACATATGAATAATTGGGGTAAATATAAACTCGTATGCTAACGTGATTACTTCCCCAGAGTTAATGTCAAGTTAAACATTTAATATACTATGTATAGTGGCTTGTCTCGCGGAAGAGATGAAACACGACTCTCCCAAAACCAAATGTGAGTTATTCTATTGTCATCAAACCGCCCAGTGGCCTTGTTCTTTGTCAATGTTTAAAAGGAAGAAACTGTTTATGTTTATGTATTTAGCAGACGCTTTTGTCCAAAGCGACTTACAAGTGATAATCGGCATATTGCCCTTGAGGCTAACAACAACAATAACAACAACAACTTGACATCAGTCATGGAGAGTAGGGAACAAGGAGTGGATAGTAGAGAGGGGGGACGGATGCAGGCAAGGTGCTGGTTAAGAAGATGCTCTCTGAAGAGCAGGGTCTTCAGGAGTTTCTTGAAAATTGAAAAGGAAGTTCCTGTTCTGGTAGTGCTTGGAAGGTCATTCCACATTTGTGGAACGATGCATGAGAAAAGTCTGGATTGTCCTGAGCGTCCTGATTGTCCTGAACTGTGTTTCCAACTGATAGAAGGGATCTTCCGGTCCGATGTCACATACATGCCTGCTGTACTTGGCCAGCATCTGATTTGACCATCTTGTTGTTTAGTTTCATTCATTAGTTAGTTTGTTTGTTTTGTCTATTAAGACAGAAGTGTTTCTGCACTGTGTCCTTTAGTAAGTTTGTCCTTGGATCTAGATTTCCACAGCCGTATTGTATTAGTCTTCATGTAAACATCAGCCTACAGTTTAGACACTCTTAAGTCACGTGATCCGTTTTTTTTAAACAGGCTTTTATTGTAACATCTACATTCTTGTTGCGTTATAGATCCGTTTCTGAACAGACTTGGTCTAACAATTCTAATCATTGTAATAACAAATGTTTTTCATTTAAATCAGGGGTGTCTAACTCATTCACACCGGGCCAATATTAAAAACTAGTACGAAGTTGGAGGGCAAAACATTTATGAAAACCTGACAGTAGATGTGCACATTTTCTCCTACCGCTGGATATGTAATGGTAGACTTTTTTATTCATTTCAATTCAGTTTATTTATATAGCGCTAATTCACGACGAGTCGTCTCAAGGCACTTCACACTGTAAACATTCCAATTGATTTCAGTTCATTAACCAATCAGTAAAACGTTTCCTATATAAGGAACCAAGCAGGTTGCATGGAGTCACTGACTAGTGTCAGAGCAATCACAGCAATCCTCATACTAAGCAAGCATGTAGCGACAGTGGAGAGGAAAACTCCATTTTAACAGGAAGAAACCTCCAGAGGATCCTGGATCAGTATAATAATGTTAAACTTTTTTTATATGGAAACAAACATTAGTTTTGTATAAATAGTGAATCTGGAAAAAACAAAGTTTATTATAAACCCACAAGCAATTAAATTTAAAAATAAACACATCAGTGGCATTTGTTATCAGGTCTATCTATAGCCTTTCACGTTAATTTCTGCTGTAAATTCTTTTTCACAGGCCAACAACAAAACACCAAAAAATAATCATTTCCTTCAGTGAAAATGCAATAATTCAGCTTTTAACAAGCCATGTCTTAGAGTAGAAAAACTGCATCTTTTCCAGATCCTGGTCCTGGTCTTTAGGGCCTTACATGGACAAGCACCATCTTATATTGGCGATCTTCTCAGTCCCTACACCCCCAGCAGGTCCCTGAGGTCCAGTGATCAAAGCCTACTGGTTGTGCAGCACCAGGCTAAAGACCAAAGGTGACAGATCATCTGCTGCTGTGGCCCCCAGACTCTGGTCAATGAAAATACACCGCCCAGCCAGATTTGACATGAGGGCCTGAGTTTGACAAGCTCCAAGTGTGTTTCAGAGTCAATTGATTGTTTTTCTTCTCTGTGTTTATCCACGTGGACATGGGTCAGTCGGTAAAATGCTGTCATTCAGTGTGAAATCATCTGCAAATGTTTATTTATTCCAGTCCCCACTTCTCAATTTTTTCAGTCCGTTCAGGTTTCTTTTTTGCTTGTTTTGCTGAAACCAGCCTGTTACAGTGTTGCAAATATTAAAATGTATACTGGGGTCCAGCTATTCTAGTTATGTCATCCCATTTGCACGTAAATGACTTATATTCATCGCTGCATCAGTATCTGTTTTTACACCGGCTACCCTTTTCTTCATTTCTGTTTTGAAGAGCTGGCTGTGTGTAGAAACTGTTAGAGTTCAGATCTCTGGGTTGAGCGGAGGCAGAAACACCCCTAGGCTTATCGTGATAACTTTAATTATGGTCAACATCGTTTGTTTTGCAGAGATCCTATGGAGAGGAAGAGAAGTCTGGCTCAGAAGGGTCGGAGGATGACGACTATGTTCCTTATGTTCCCGTCAAAATTCGAAAACAACAAATGGTAAAATCGTGCATGTCTTTTTCCTTGATGCGTCAATAACAAGACATGGTTAGTGTGTGTTAACGTAGGCTCTTGTCATGTTCCCTCTACAGCTACAGAAGATGCTACGTCTGCGGGGAAAGGCCGTAGATGAGGAGCAGAAGGACTCTGGAGAAGAGCAGCGGGATGAAGACGAGGGTCTGGGTCCGCGCTCCAATATAAGTCTTCTTGATCAGCATCAGCATCTAAAGGAAAAAGCAGAAGGTTTGTAGTTCAGATTTGATCTTCGTCATTTCATGACAGATGCTTTATTATTGTGTTATTTATCTGAATGAGATGAGTTCTGTAATGTATCGGCGTGTGTGTGTGTGTGTGTGTGTGTGCAGCTCGTAAAGAGTCAGCCAAAGAGAAGCAGCTGAAGGAGGAAGAGAAGATTCTTGAGAGTGTTGCAGAAGGCAGAGGTACAGTAATACTGTTACCTTTCTCATGATCCATTCAGCAAATAAAAAAACCAGATTTGTGACTAGTGCCTCGTGTCTTCTGTCAGCTCTGATGTCTGTGAAGGAAATGGCCAAAGGCATCATCTATGATGACCCAATCAAAACCAGGTGAGCGCTGGACTTGTGGTCTTGTCATAATGTTTGTTTTTGTCTTGTTTTCATTCATCCTGAATATGGTTGGTAGCTGGAAGGCACCACGCTACATTCTGAACATGCCGGACACACGACACGAACGCGTCAGGAAGAAGTTCCACATTCTGGTCGATGGAGAGGGAATCCCCGCTCCCATCAAAAGCTTCAGGGAGATGAAGTTTCCACCAGGTGAGACACGCCGTCCCACACGTTAGACATGCTTGCTCCTCGTGGTTCACTGCTGACCACCTCTCTGTGTTTTGTGTTTGAAGCGATCCTAAAAGGTTTAAAAAAGAAAGGAATCGTGCACCCAACTCCGATTCAAATCCAGGGAATCCCCACGGTGTAAGTCTAACACGAGCCTCGCTCGCCTGTGTGGGTGAGTAAATTGTTGGTCAACTGTGTGTGTGTGTGTGTGTGCAGTTTGTCAGGTCGAGACATGATTGGCATCGCCTTCACTGGATCAGGAAAGACTTTGGTCTTCACCCTGCCCATCATCATGTTTGCCCTTGAGCAGGAGAAGAGGCTGCCGTTCTTTAAGAGAGAGGGACCGTATGGACTCATCATCTGTCCCTCGGTAAGACTGATCAAACCTTACGCTTGCTCTAAACGACGCAGCGGTCACAGTTGGTGTTTGGCGCTGCAATGCTTTGTTTTACATTCTTGAGCACCTTGAGGTAATCCGCTGGAGCCGCTATATCACAGCAGAGAAACGAGGTGTTATGACATTTCTGTTGGTTTGGAGTGAAAACTGGTCAAAACAATTTTACATCAATTTACTGTAAAGCTTCTCACACTTTTTGTGACTTTTCCTTTTTTATCTCTTGAAATTGTGAAACGCCTGGTAGAAGGAAGATTGATCGTGTGTGTGTGTGTGTGTGTGTGTGTGTGTGTGTGTGTGTGTGTGTGTGTGTGTGTGTGTGTGTGTGTGTGTGTGTGTGTGAAGGGTCCAGGGTTTTTTGCAATGTGTGGTCTTTTGATCAGACGTTGGTATATCCTGCACCACATAACCTCCCCCCTACCGTATCTGCTCCTGACCACATGGCCAGATTTATGGTGGTTCTTTTCTCCTGAATGAAGGATTCGAAGTTCGCTGAACTTACAGCCATTTTTCCTCGGCTTTTCTCCATTTGGTGATCCACATTTGTAGTCCTGGACGTAATTTCACACAAAACCTAAAATAACCTTTTTCCCAATTTAAAAATAAGCGCTTTCTTGCAATCAGAATGTGTCTTTAAAATTCACAGACATCATATGTGAAATCGGTGGCACGTAACAAACGGAGTTAGAAAGTAGCATTAATGGCCCCGTTGACTTGACCCGTGGTCTGGAAGTAGATGGGGGTGACTTAGGCTCCCCGTTCCAATGACGGATCCTTTTCAGTTCAAATGCAAAAGAGGAGTTTTATGAAAGATAGAATTTTGTTGTGTGCCTCAGTGCTACTACCAACGCAGAACCTTTAAAATGAACATCTGGAAGCCGCTGAGATTTTAAAATAACACATTTTGTGCAAAGCTCGTTCATAGCTGCATTCAGGACAACCCAGATTGTGTTTGTTTTGCTTAAGTTTTCACTTTTAACTGCAGATTAGGAAGCAGTCCACCACTTATCACTTCATAGAGGCCCTTTTTGTTTGTTTTTGGCAGGAAAGTAAAATTTCAGTCCCTTTATTCACTGATGTGATTCATAAACTAATTAACCCAAAAAGTGAAAATAAACACTAAATGTTTGAAACTGCATGTAGTGGCGGTAGCGACCTGGGCAGTTGCCCAGTGCGGCAAAATAGGTAATTAAATAAAAAAGTAAAAAAAAAATTTAAAAAAAAGAAACCTCATGCATTGTTGACAAACAGGTACCGACCGGTTCTCTAACTCGTTTGCAGGTTGGGGAGCAGCAAGGTGGTTGTTTCACTGGGGGCTGCAGAGGGAGGCGGGAGGGTCTGCTTAAGCGGCTAACCAGATCACAAAAATAAAACAACAAACACAAAATCGCCATGACAATATATAAGATAGACACTTATAATTTGCACAGATGCATTTTCTAAACGATAAAATCTATTCTTAACAGCTGTTTGTACCCTCTGTGCGCGCTGCTCGCTGCTGCCTGGGGGAAGGGGCGGGGGTGTGCGCAGTGGTAGCTGCTTGCTTCTTCACTCAGCCTTCTTCATTTGGGTTGTATGAATCTGCTCACTGCAAAGAGTGGGTCATCAACAGCTTACGTTGTTCTCGACTTGGGGGTGGGGGGTGGATGTTTTACTGAGAGCAAAATTAACAAAGTTTGAAGAAGGACAATTAAAGTACTCAGGGGCTCATTTTAGGAAAACAGAAAGCGAGGAGGCGAGTCGAGTAAAAGACACCAACAAGCAGATGTAGAATGGCAGGTAGATGTGCTTGCTTCTTCCTGAAACTTCAGTAAGGAAAACATCTTTTTACAAATGTTGCGGTGTACCTTCCAGGTAAGACAGTAGATCAGACACCATTGTTGTTTATTTGGTCTTTTGGACCTTTTTAGACACAAATATTTTCAGCTGTTAACCGAATGAAGTCCGTTGATGATTTGTCTCCTGTTGTCAGTGTTGACCAATCGTAATCGTTGTTTGTTGGCTGTTTGTACACGCTATAACTACTATTCTGTTTTCAAGTTGACCTAGCAATAACTAAATAAATAAATCACTCTCTCCATGAGATTGCACTAGTTTGGAAAATCAGTTTAGAAATTGTTTATAAAAATCTGAAGCAGTATTAACTATAATTATATATAATATAAAATTTTAAACATTATATGACTTAAATCACTCATTTAAAAGTTGGGTGGGTGAGGTGGGGGTGAGGGTGTGGGGTCTTTGCCCAGGGCACCAAATGGGCTAGGACCGCCCCTGTGAATGACTTTAGAAGTGAACCCACACCACCACATGAATGTGTTACAGTTGTGTGCTGTGACTGGTCCTTTTTGGTGCTTAAACAGGGTCATCAGCCTAAAATCTCCCAGTAGAGAAGATCAAAAACAAACAGATGCTCAAAAAAACCTGTAATAAAATGATTTTTTCTGGTTTGTTTTTGAAATAATTTTTGGGGCTGAAACATAACAGAATTAGCTGTGAGAGCCATGAAAGCTTATATCAATCCAATTCCGTCCTGTTTTTATTTTTAGCGAGAGTTAGCGCGGCAGACACACGGCATCATTGAGTATTACTGCAAGCTGCTGGAGGAGGAAGGAGCTCCCCAGATGCGCACTGCCCTCTGCATCGGAGGAATGTCCGTCAAGGAGCAGATGGAGGTGGTGAAACAGTGAGTGGGCTTAGTTAACTCCACAGGGGTCACTGGGGTCAGAGCTGATTAGCATAATTAACACATAGTCATTCTGAAGGGAGAAACACAAACTCTGATCATACGTTCCTGTCATGCTACAGATCTGTTGTTTGCTCTGTTGCAGCGGCGTCCACATGATGGTCGCCACCCCTGGGAGACTGATGGACTTGCTGCAGAAGAAGATGGTCAGTCTCGACATCTGCCGCTACCTGGCTCTTGATGAAGCAGACAGAATGATCGACATGGGTTTCGAGGAAGACATCAGGACCATCTTCTCCTACTTCAAGGTGAAATTTGAGTTTCAGCTGTTGGCAGTTGGCTGGAGACCCAAATTTTGAGAAACCAAATGAATCACCAAGTCGAATAACACTGAACTGTGACCGAGTCACGTAGCCAGGGTGAAGGGAGCCCACGTCTCCTCCCTTTCTGGTCGGCTCATGGGTCTCCGGAAGAACGAAAAAATAAAAGTCAGCGAGGCTAAAAGAGCTATTTTCTAATCCGCTTAGCCTCACGCCCTGGATCACACATATGTTGTACTTCTATTTAAATGAAAAGTAATGATGGGTGTTTTGACCACGCCTGTCACATACTTTGAGATTTATCAGCTTGTAAAAGTTTGTTGTTAGCATGACTACAAATCAGACATCAGCACGTCGTATATGTGACGTCACCACATAATCTCCTCTCCCCTAGCGTAGCTGCTACTTACCACATGGCCAGATTAATGGTGGTTCTTTCCTCCTGAAGGAAGCATTTGAGGTTCGCTGAACTTACAGCCATTATCCCTGTTTCTCTCCGTGTCTGGTTCGATGACGTCACTTTGGTGAAGCACATTTGTGGTCCTGGACTTATTTTCACACAAAACCTAAAATAGCGTTTCCCCCCGTTCAAAAATAACCGCGTTCCTGGTATCAAAATGCTTCTTTAAAATTCACAGACATCGTTTGTGTAATCCATGGCACATAACAAATGAAATTTGAAAGTGTATATATATATATATATATATTTACAGCTATACACACTCACATATATATATATATATATATATATATATATATATATATATATATATATATATATATATATATATATATATATATATATATAGGACACCTTTCTCATTCAATGCGTTTTCTTTATTTTCATGACCATTTACATTGGGAGATTCTTACTGAAGGCGTCAAAACTATGAATGAACACCTGTGGAGTTATGTACTTAACCCGAGAAGTGAAATAACTGAAAACATGTTTTATATTCTATTTTCTTTAACCCTCTGGAGGCAGGCGTTGCAGACGAGCATCGTCAAGCTCATTTGCATTGACGGGCTGTTAACGCAGATAGGACTTTCTTATTGCCCAGAATATTTAACCCTCTTATTACCAACCTGTCACCGCCGACAGGATTGGACATGCACAATTCTCATGACCATAATTCCTGAACCGTTCAAGATGTCTGTAAAATTCTAAAAGTGCTGAAAAGATTAAAAATGGGGATTTTCGTGCATATACGATACATTACGGTAGCCACCAGGATTCCATGTCTTGAGCTCAACGAATCACAACACAGATTCAGAGACGTGCTGAGTTTGTCATCCAAAATGCTCCGTTTTATAACTTTTGAACGGCTGATCAGATTCAAATAATTCCAATGGTTCCTAAAAGTACATAAAAGCAGCTTTCCAACGATCTATAGCATGAAGCAATCAGAGTTAGGGAAAATATCGCTATGAGGGGAAATCCTGCTGTACAGCCTGATTGAAACGGAGCGGTGAAAGCGGATAACGGAACGGGGAAGCTAATCAGCATAAAAAGCCAGCATGAAATTATGGAAATGCCTCAAAGAAAATCAACACGATCTATTAGGTGTCCCAGAAGGCTTATATCTGAAGACAGTGACCATGAAGAAGGACAGATCTCCAGTGAACCAGGGTATGAATGTTTGTTCAGTCTTTATTTTTTTATTTGAACAACCCTCAACTATTTGCTAATTGTAAGATTCAGCTTCATTCCAGCATTATTTGTCTTTTTACAATAAATAATTATTTTTGCTAAAACAACAGTTTTTGGTATAGCAGTGCACGGTGTGCCAGAGAAGCACCCCATGGCAGTGTGAGGTGCGCTCTGCCTGCAGCTGGAGAGAAACTGCTTCAAGGTCTACCGTCAAATAAAAACGTCTGAAAGTTTACAAAAATAAATGGTCTTAAAACTGCTATAAAAAAAAGATGCCACGGTTCAAGCTTTTTAAGAATAGATGCATTACAGTTCAAAGTTTAAATTGTTTGCCCAGTAATTTTGAAGTTCCTGTTCAGTAATAAATGTAAAAAATTCAAATCCGTTTTTTGCTTTTTTCACTTTTAAGCTGATTTTTTTAAGGCTTTAATAGAAATAAATTCTAAATACAAACCGTACACTGAAAGCTGAGGTTGATCTGAAAAAAAGAGTTACACACACTTTGCACTTTTTATTACAATTTTACAGCCATAAGATTAAAAAAATACCAGGTGGCCCTGTTATAATTATGGTCATCAGAGGGTAAACCGAGGATGCTTTTCTACTCCACATCAGCCTCCTTAAAGCCAAAGCAGGTCTGTATAACCAACGTGACCTTGTCTCCTTTACAAGCGCGTCTCCATCCACCTGCTGCTGCAGAAGCAGCTGCTGTGTTCAAAGTTGACAGAAACACGGATCCGTGCTGCAAACCCCACAATAAGTCCGCATATTTCCAGTAGTACAGACTTAACAACATTTGTCGAATGATTAGTGCAATAATCAGATTATTATTTCACTTCCACAAAATGCAAGTTCCGGATTAGATTTGACTGAAACTGGGATGGCTTCCCATCGCATTTAAAAGCAGTCGCTTGTTAATTAGGCCGTCATTTGTGAAGTTGGGCTAATACTGTGCACGTAGCACATATGAAAACGGTCTCCAGCTCCTCCCAGAGCTGCTGTCCTTGCACTTTTCACTGGCGCACACGGAACAGAAAAGCATCAGAGACGGGAGTTTGAAAGATGAGCGGTTACTTTGTCACAATTCTGAGAGAAAATTTCACCTTTAATTGTGTAAAGTCGAACAACGTAAGTGTGAGGCACTGCGACTCATGCATGGACAGCTCCACAGATGTTTCTGGGCATTCTGGAAACTCCCTCGTGATCTCTGCTCACTATTTATCACCAACGCTCAACCCAGTGAGATGCTGGATTTAGTGTTTGTCAGAAGAACCAAAATTCATCCTCATCACAAAAGGACGCTGGAAAACAGTATCATACTGACAAAAAAGAAACCCCATCTTCTGAATCATTTCTTCTTCTTCTTCTTCTAGGGACAAAGACAAACATTGCTGTTCAGTGCTACCATGCCCAAGAAGATCCAGAACTTTGCAAAGAGCGCTCTGGTCAAACCGGTCACTATTAACGTGGGCCGGGCCGGAGCTGCCAGTTTAGACGTCATCCAAGTACGTTCATGTGTCTCCTCTCAGCTGAGCTTGCTCCCGTGTCACATTTTCTTCAGAGCTGGATGTTTCCATTCTTGTGCAGGAAGTAGAATACGTCAAAGAGGAGGCCAAGATGGTGTACCTCCTGGAGTGTCTGCAGAAAACGCCACCTCCAGTAAGTCCCTCCACATGGAAGAGTACAAACACACCTGAAATGCACAAGGGCAAACACACCTGACGTCACGGTTTATCTAACAGGTGCTGATCTTTGCTGAGAAGAAGGCCGATGTGGATGCCATCCATGAGTATCTGCTGCTAAAGGGAGTGGAGGCGGTGGCCATACATGGAGGCAAAGGTCTGCAGAAACATGTCTTTGTAGGAAAACAGAGCTGTTAACACACGGCAGATAAAACAGCAAGACATTTGTATTCATTTAAATTCTTTAGTTCACATGTAGTTCCTCCTTTCTACCACCAGGCGTCACCATACTGTCAAAGGTGACCAGGTTCTACGGAGCAGAAATATGTTAGGAAAAGCTTCTTTTATTGAATAAATATCTGTTGGTTTACCTTCCAGATCAAGAAGAAAGAACTAAAGCAATCGAGGCTTTTAAGGAAGGAAAGAAAGATGTTCTAGTTGCCACGGATGTTGCCTCCAAAGGTTTGGATTTCCCTGCTATTCAGCACGTGGTGAACTACGACATGCCTGAAGAGATAGAAAACTATGGTACTTTTGTCATCTCTGTTTTTTACAAGTATGGCATGATGCATTTGTCAGTGTTCCCACACCTGTTGATGGAAATGTTCCCACTTCAGTCCACAGAATAGGAAGAACTGGTCGATCTGGAAAGACTGGGATCGCTACAACATTCATCAACAAAGGCTGTGGTAAGAAAACATCTACTGATATATCCACAGCAAAGCCATACTTCACAGGTCTTCATGTTCTTCTAAATGCTTTAATTATCTGTGAAATGAAAGTGGATTCATACAAAAAGCATTTTAAATTTTTATTATCCGATCCATTTTGGGGTTTTCTGGGCACAGCCTGCCATCAACCTGTGATGTGAACAGTTTCATATAAATTATAAACATTAAATTAATTTGTTTCCATCATTATGTGAAGAAATTTTCAAGTGAAGTCATAAAAATGCTCCAGGAAGAGATCTCTCACTGTACCGTTAAGCCTTAGGTCTACTGCATTTACTGTATGCTGCTGAGGAGGGGATGGCATAGTTAGACTGTACATTAACAGGAAGTGTGTGTGTGTGTGTGTGTGTGTGTGTGTGTGTGTGTGTGTGTGTGTGTGTGTGTGTTTCCCTGCCTGCCTCCTGGTAGACGAATCTGTACTGATGGATCTAAAAGCTCTGCTGGTTGAAGCCAAGCAGAAGGTTCCTCCGGTCCTCCAGGTGCTGCAGACGGGAGACGAAACCATGCTGGACATCGGAGGTGAGTTGTTCAGTGTTGTTTCCTACTGTTCGTTCTTTGTTGCGTCGTTTCCTCTGCATCGCATGTTGACCTGTTCAGAACCTTTCCAACGTGTCTGATCTGTGCGATTCTCAGGAGAGAGGGGCTGCACGTTCTGCGGCGGTCTCGGCCATCGCATCACAGACTGTCCCAAGCTGGAGGCCATGCAGACCAAACAGGTCACCAACATCGGGCGCAAAGACTACCTGGCTCATAGCTCGATGGACTTCTAGGGGCTTTATCCCCAGAATAAAACCCATCCAGCATCCCCAGACTGCCCATATGGTGCTGAACGGAAGTGATCACCTAGACCTAAACGTAACCCTGTTGTTCTGACGTTTCTTGGTATAAATTTCTGCTTCTGTAAATTGTAAATAAAACTTTTTGTTAATCTTGTTTCCAAACTGGATTATATAAAAATGCTGTAGCGCCACTTGTTGTGCCTGTGAGGAAGTTGCAAAAGTTACAGAACTATGCAAAGGGAAGTCGGACTCAAGAAAGCACACACACACACACACACACACACACTTGTGTACCATTTCTTGTGAAACAGCTGGGTTATAGATAGTGATTATTTTTACTGAGAGGCAGACGCGTTGACAATTAGAAAAAGCTGCTGGTGACGTCATGGAAAGAAATGTTCTTGTTGCGTGGGAGGGCTAAAGCGAGCCATTCGCAGCTGGTTTTAAACACAGCAGCAGTTCCTGTGCTGGTGTGAGAGCCGTTTCACCGACTAAACTCACAAGCATGGATCTTATCTTCAAGGAGGGGATGCTGCACCTTCAGACAGTTAAGTTTGGAAAGGTAAGTTTATTAGATCAACGTCGATCTTTAATACGGGAGATTTTTAAAAATATCTACAGACCAGATGTAATAACTGCTACAGCTAAACATTAAACCATATATCATCTTTAAACGGCAAAGAAAAAGGTTTAGTACAACTTTTAAATATTTGTCTAAAATCATAATGAGTTTAGTCAAATTTCTCTTAAAAATTCCATCCATCGTCATCCGCTTATCGGGGTCGGGTCCCGTGGGCAGCAGCCTAGGCAGGGGGGCCCGGACTTCCCGCTCCCCAGCCACTTGGGCCACCTCCTCCGGGGAATCCTAAGGTTTTCCTTGGCCAGGTGAGAGACATAGTCTCTCCAGCGTGACCCGGGTCTTTCTTTATATCTCCTCCTGGTTGGACGTGCCCAGAAAACCTCACCAGCGAGGCGTCCAGGAGGCATCCTGACTAGATGCCCGAGCCACCTCAACTGACTCGTCTCGATGTGGAGGAGCAGCAGGTCTACTCCGAGCCCCTCCCAGATGAACGAGCTTCTCACCATATCTTTAAGAGAGAGCCCAGACACCCTGTGAAGAAAAACTCATTTCGGCCGCTTGTATCCGCGATCTCATTCTTCCGGTCGCTACCCAAAGCTCGTGACTGTTAACTCAGACTTGAATTAACAAATTCCAAAGTTTTTCTCTTAACAATGACTCAGATATGTTAGTTGGTTCTCCCAAACCTCTGCAGGTTTAATACATTTAGAAATTCAAACTAAATAGTTTCTGTGCACCATGGAGTTTAGTCCCATGCTGCATCAGCAGATAAAGGACCTGCATTAAAATCAGTTATGCCTCTCACCAGTTTCAGCCAGAATCCCATGAAGAGGATTCTGTTTAAGGTTTCAACTGGATCTCATTGTGTTCAATACAATTTTTACTATTCAGATTTCTTATATTCCATCAGGAAAGCAAGTGTAAAAGGAAACATATCAGTGGTATCAAATGTACCAGTCTGCAATCTAAGTGAATGTTCTGTTAGAGAACCGGCTAAGGAACATTGGCATACCGTAGAGCAGAACCCTGAGTAAAGACCATCTGATCTGCTGAAAGCAAGAAAATACACATTAGATCTTTGTTTTCTGCACTTCCTGCAAGAGTTTTTGTAGCACTAAGTAGGACTGTGCCCAAACCTTTTAGCTGTTTAGCAACAGAAGGGGCCTGAAACCCTGAATGCTGCTGGCTGAACCAACCAACCAAACAGCACCAGCTCAAGTTACGTACCTCAGGTTCAACGGCCTGTTAGAATCACACACTGTGTCGCTCAGACCAGACCACACCAATAAATGAAAATAGCGGTAATCATTATTAATAATGTTGCAATGATCAAAGGCCCAGTGGTCAGAGTTTGTGAGCCTCGCAGCCTCAGGAGCATTGTTGTCCAGACGTTGTGGCTGCTCAGTCTTCTGCCTGAAGGAAAAGGGTGAACAGTTGATGGGCTGGATGTGTGGACTGTCTTTGCTCTGGTCCTCATCTATAACAATCCTCTAACGAATGATAAGTAGCTTTTGCATCCTCAGACCAGTTCCTAAACTGGCCTGTTAAAGGGACCCACCAATAAGGTCAGCCGGCATTTTTCAGTCTCCTCACAAATATGATGGCTTGCTCAGAGGTCCAGGAGCAAATAAGTTCAAATGTAAATTCAAGGTGGTTTTATAAAAAAGTCCGAAACAGACATAAAAACTTTTTATTTCATTATTTATATAAACCGAACCCCCTGTTGCTGCTCACACCTGAGGAACATTTCTGCGGACAGCAGCCCGTCTGTCTCAAGCAAAAAGAGGAACTAATGGTTAAGCCACAGCAGCATGTGGGAGGATTCATTTTAATAGTTCTGAACCCAACTTAATATTTTTATTCAGTTCTTCTATCAGATGGTTTTTGACACCAGAAGTGAAAGTAGACGGAAACTTGTTCAATGTAGGTTCTTCCAAGTTGACACAGATTGGTCCAGCTGTCCCCTCTGTCCAAAGTGTGAACATCAACCTCAAACGTGCAGATGGACCCCTGAGTCTAGTCCAGTCTTCATGATTGTTGTTTTGTTGGAGAGCCCCCACCGACCGGCACTGCTGATGAAACACCACTGAGCTTCTATTCTGGGGGTCTCGTCCTCCGTCTAAGGGTGGTGTTAAAGTTCATCAGGGAGTTGTGTTTGGAGAATTTTCTTTTCAGGTTCCACAAATATGGGGACACCTATTTAGCGCCTGCTGTTCTCATGTTTTGCTGCTTTGGAGCCTTTTCCAGATTTAGTTGTTGGGAATCTGTAGGTTTGGAGTGGCTGTCCACACAAGTCTCTGGTCCTTTTCCTTCTCTTTGGTCTATTTGGTCTCAGCCTGATTCTGATGGTTTGTGCTCCAGTGCGTGATGTGAGTCAAAGAGCAGATACTGGTCTGTGGGGGTGGGCTTCTCTGGTAGACCTCAGTGCTGAGACTTCATCCTGTTCTTTCTGCACAGACTGAGATGGCTCTTTTTTCATGTGTCTGCCACATATCTGATCTAGTGACTTGGTGCAATTCCCTTGTGGGAGTCCAAAGCTCGGTCTTCAACTTCCTCCATGTGGATGTTGACTACAGCACGAGAACTTAATAAAAGACCCCCCCCCAAAAAAAATGAACAACTAGCTCCATTTGTGTCTCAAACCATCCGGATGTTGCGAAACGCTGTGATGAAAAGCACAAATATAATCTACAGGAACAGGAAGCAGCTCAGGATGCAATTTGCATTTTGATCCATCATGCTTAAACTTTCCAACACGATCAGTCTTTGTTTTAGAGTTTGCTGCTTGTTTACTGCACTAAAAACTCCCACCACCATTAACGGTAATTAAATAAAATCTCCTGCTTTACCTTTAAGCATCTGAAAACCACCGGCTGATTCTCTGGGAGCTTTTTGCTCCTCTGAGACTGAACCTGATGGAGAAGTCCAGGATTGATGTGATGTGTCTGAGTGTCCGAACAAACAGAGGAGGATCCGGCAATGAGGCAACTCTAGGAGTAATTAAGAATCCCTTCTAGAGCCAGAGGTCATCAACCCTCTGGAGGCAGGCGTTGCAGATTTGCAACGGTAAAAACCTACTTACCTGGTTACTCCACATATGTATTTCATGAGCATTTTTTAACTCAGAAGTACCCCTGAAGGACTCAGTTGTTCGTCCTTTTATCAAAACTTATTTTGAACCTGAGCGGTCATTAAAGGGTCATCAAAGCAGCTGAGCGTTGGTGGTTTTGTTGGCCAACAGACCTCATTTGCAAAAAAATCTACCTAATTTCAGTAAAAATAAGGATCAAAACTGCCTAATGGTAAAAGTGGGGGCACCCCCCCTCAGGGGCGTAGCACCCAATTCTGGGCCCTAGGTACAAGTCTTCTAGGTGGGCCCCCATGCTCAATTACTTAATATCTCTCTTACACATTTTTTGTCATGCTATAAGACAAGACAATAAATATGATCTTAGTTTAACCTCTATATTGAGCAAATACAAATGCCAGCATAATAAAAGTGAAATGCCCAGACTTCACATATAATTATTTTTATTTGCCAACAATGTGTTCAAACAAAAATCCTGGAATTTATTTTCCAGTAAATGCCCACTGACGGGTCTTCATGTTAGCAAAATCACTTATGAGATCTTTAAAGTCCAATCCTTTGGCTAATTGGCTTTCAATAGAAAGAAGAGCTAGGCTGTTCAGTCTATCCTGGGACATTGTTGATCTCAAATAATTTTTCACCAGTTTCAGTTTGCTAAAAGCCCGTTCACCCCCAGCAACAGTCACAGGTAGTGTGCAAAATATCCTCAGTCCAATACAAACTTCTCCAAAAATGCTCTGTAATTGCATCCTGTAGATGGCATTAAGCAGCTCAAGAGGAGACTGAATGTGTGGAAATGTGGCACCAGATATTGTTCTCAGGTGTAGCATCTCATTCTCAAATTCAGCTGTGAGATCCTTGTAATATTTTCTCATCAGTGCCTGGCATGATATCTTCATCTGCTCTTCAGTCATGTCTGTCATGGTTCATGATGTTAAGCTTTGCTGATATATATTGATATATTAAATACATATGACATGAAATAAACCAGGTTCTCTCTGTGAATGTAATGTTCTCTAAATTTTATAATCCCTGCATTATCAGCCAAATTATAAGATTGTCCGTTTTCAAGATCAAATATAAAGAAATTTAAAATAGGCTTAAAATATCTAACCAGGTCAATAACAATCCTCTAACACCAGTGTCATCATGCTATACGAAAAACAGTGGCAGCTTCACATTCCTGAGATTACCGCTAATCCATCGATACCAAGTTTGTCCTGGTCCATGACTGGGAAGGAGCTGAAATATCCACACAGAGTGAACCTGTTTTTACTGCGAGGTCCGCAAATTAATTGGCGGCGGCCGCCCGCGATAATAATTCTGATTAATATATATATATAAATTTATTAGTGTTATCACTGATAACAGTAATTAATTTTTATTTGATCTTGATGGTGAAACTAAAGGCGTTTAACACTTTCTTTCTTCTTTCTTTCGGTCTTTATTTTGGTTTATAGCATTAACATAAAATTTTTTTTTTCAAACAAAACAATATTAACAATTTGAATTTAAACCAAAAAAGGAATAGGCAGAAGCAAAGCTTATTTTAGCCTACCCTATTTTCCACCTAAGATACATAACCAATATACATTTCTTTTATTTTCCCCAATATAAATAACCACAATGAAAATTCATTAATGTCTATACTTACTTTTCATACCCTGTAAATATGTGACACTTTACACCTGCTTTAAACTTTAGTAAAGAAGTACATTTCTTCAAATCATCATATAACTCATTCCACAATTTCACACCAAGAACGGAAACACATCTTGATTTCACATTAGTTCTGGCTTTTACACATTCAAACATAAATACACCTCTGAGATTATAATGATCATCTCTTGGTTTGAAATAAACTTTTATGCAATTTGGGATATTATCATTAACTACTTTATGAAGAATCTCTAAGAATTTTACTTTAATAATATCTCCTAATTTTAGCGTTTTAGTTTGAATAAATAGATAATGGGTTGGTTCGAGGTATCCCAATTTATTAACTATTTTAATCGCCTTTTTTTGTAATTTAAATACAGTCTCAACACATGTTTTACTGCATTTCCCCAAGCCTCTGCACAGTAAGACAAATAAGGCATAACTAAAGAGCTATAAATTAAAAACAAGGCTTTTTTATTTAGTACATCACTAGTTTTATAATGTATAGCAATAGATTTAGACACTTGCCGTTTGATATATTCAATGTGTGGTTTCCAACTGAGTTTAATATCAATAATCACACCTAGGAATTTAGTTTCATGTACTTGTTCAATTGGGACTCCATTTAAATACAGCTTAGCACCGTCATTGTCCCTTTTCCCTGAAAATATCATAAATTTGGTTTTATTTTCATTTAGTGATAGCTTGTTGTAATCAAACCATTTTTTAATTGAATCCAATTCGTTTTCAACCTCTTGTAATAATTTACTCATATCTTCCCATACAAATGAAATTTGTATAATCTGCAAACATAATAAATTTTAACCGAGACGATACAGAAAATATGTCGTTCAGGTATAGGTTGAATAATTTCGGTCCGAGCACCCAGCATTGCGGTACACCACATATTACTCTTTCAAGCTGTGAATCTATATCATTAACATTAACATATTGAAATCTACTGCTTAAATAACTTTCAAGCCATTGATTGGTTTTACCACGAAGACCATAGTATTCACATTTCTTGAGCAGGTATGTGTGATCAATTGTATCAAATGCCTTACTCAAGTCAATCAAGACAGCCACTACATTAAGTTTTTGATCCACTGCTGTTGCAATCTGCTCTACCAAATCCATAACTGCTAATGAGGTTGAACGATTCTTCCTAAACCCATACTGATGGTCATTTAAAAGATCAAACTTGTTGGTAAATGCTTCAAATCTAATTACAAAAAGTTTCTCAAGTATCTTTGAAAACTGTGGCAGTAAAGAGATAGGTCTATAGTTACAAGCTAATCATTTATCACCACTTTTATAAATAGGAATAACTCTGGCTATTTTCATTTGTTCAGGGACTGTGCCACTTGAAAAGGATTTATTACAAATATAAGTAAAAGGTTCAATAATGCAATGGATAACCTCCTTGATGAGAGACATATCCATCCCATGAAAATCTAAGGACTTTTAACTTTTGAAACTATGTACCGCTTGGATCACATCACTTTGGCTTACACTGCTCAAAAACATTGTATTATTATTTTTATTTATTTCATGGTTAATGTCAACTTCTGGCAGCTTTTTAGCTAGATTAGGGCCAACATTCACAAAATATTTATTAAACTCATTTGCAATGTTCTTTCCATTTTTATTGTGAATATCTATACCTGCTTCTTTTGTATTTCTTATTAATTTATTTAACACATTCCATGTACCTTTAATATTATTTTTGTGTTTTAGGAAAAGCTGATCATAATATTCCTTTTTTTGCTTCCTTATTATTGTAGTTAATTTGTTTTTATATTCCTTATACCTTTTTTCTTTTTCCTTTGTTGGATTTTTTAGAAAATCCAGATACAGTGATTTCTTTTTCTGGCAAGCCCTTTCCAATCCCCTAACAATCCAGGGTGGGGACCTTTTTTTTAAGTTTTGCTTATGATATTTTAGAGGACAATGTCTATCATAAGCTCCCAAAAATGAACACTGAACACCTAACATGAATGCAGCTTCTGAGAGCTAGCTAATATCAGCTAAAACTGTGTTCTGCAGCTCACCTTCCTTCTTGAAGAACCTAGTCAATACTTGCTTCTGTTCAATTAACTTTTTCTCCTTCTCCTTCTTTTCTTTTCTTTTCTGGAAGCCAGATTTCCCTTTCTTGGGAAAAGACATGACTGACTCTCCTGCCTCCAGCTCTGGCTGTCGGCATCTGCGATGTCTCATAGCTGTACATGCGGCCGTGCAGCCCCTGGCCGCTGGTGTGGACTAAACCACTTTGCACATTTTTAAGGGGTGATAGATGCCTCAGAGATTATTCAGTTATTATTTTTAAGGCGAAATTCTGTTTCTTAACCTCTTTGTCCAGATAAAGAGACGTTTATTAAGACATTAAGTAAGTTGGGGGGAAAAAACAACAACAATAAAACATTTTTATTCAAAGCTGTCTCAGGGCCCCTCCCTGCAGTGGGCCCTGGGTAAACGGTACCCTTTCCCCCCCCAGTCCGACGCCCCTGCCCCCCCTCCCCAAAGTTACATTTGTGCTTCTGTGCACACAGACACTGTTTTATGGTGCAATGGTATCAGTGGCTAATGCAAACACGATTTTAGGAGTATTTCCTGCCAGTTATTCCTGAGCTGGAAAGGCCATAGCTACTAGCTACTAGCTAGCTCTGCTGCTGTTCATAACCATCTACAGAACGTTAAATAAGTAGCAATCTAATTAATCTCTCTCTGCTATCACCTCGTTCACTGATTCTCCCCTTCCGACGAGCACCAGATGCACCAGATTACCGTAACGGCTCTAAAGATAACTTTTTCAGACGTTCCTGCCTCGTGTGGTGTTAAGAGCACCCTGGTCTGCTCGCAAGTGTGTGCTTCCTGTTGAATGTGACATCTAGCCAATCAGAAACCGGACCTAAGACAAAATCATCAGTTCCTCCAATCCAGCCATAGAGCAACAGGTTCAGTTTGATGGATAAATAATAACGAGCCACGAATCCTCTTCTAGCTGCAAGGCATGATCCGCTCAAACACAAACATCAACATGTTTGATGGAATCAGCTCAAAACTAAATAAAAACTCACTTTTAGGCTCAAATAGAACGATGAAAATAATCTGTATTGTGTTTTTCTCTAATCTTAGGTGGTGGCTTTAATCAAAACCCCGACCAACACATTGACATTAATGAAGCTTGTTCCTACAGATGCTTTCACATCTTGTGTGTTGTTTGAATTTCTGTTGCTGAATTTTCTGTCAGATCTGGAACTCTGGTAGATGGACGGTAAGAGGTGGTGAATTTAGACGTGAAGTTCTCGTTTCTGCCTTCTTTCAGTTGTTCCTCATACACAGGAACAATGAGCCGTCTGAAAACTACTGATAGAGTTCACTTCAGCACCATCAGCGTGAATAATGGTGGCATTTAAAGTGGACGTGAAAGACCGTAAAAACAGGATTAGGTGTTAGGCTCAGCTATTAGGATTCACGTAACTGTGGTGTTGATCGGAAGGGAAAGAACTGTTAGTCTCTTCCTTCTTGTCTTCTCAGAAGACGTGGCGTAAAGTACGCATGGTTCTCTTCAAGCCCAGCTCCACTGGAGTGGGCCGGCTGGAGTTCTGCACCATGTCGGACACCAGCTCCTTCAGCGAGCACATGAAACCCGGTCGGCAGAAGACGACAGAGAAGAAAGTGGTGCGTCTAAGTGACTGTCTCAGCGTGACTCCTGCTGTGAGGGAGTCCTGTCCTGCTGGTTCCACCGCCTTCTACGTCCACACCACGCAGTCCACCTACACCTTCGCCTCCACGTCCAGCCCGGACTGGATCAGCGCCCTCTGTCTGCTTGCCTTCCAGGTAATTACCACCTGTTCTCCCCCCTCTGCTTCCCCTTTGAGTCAACATTTTGATTTGGGAAAGACGAGGAGAAGCCTTCCCAGGCCTGATAAGATGAGGAAGATGAAAGTCATTATCTGAAACTTCTCTTATTCTTGTGCCTGGGCCGACTTCGAGCTTACCTGCGTCTTCCCACTTTGAAACCATAAAAGAGTGATAAAAGGTGTGTAAAGTTTACTGTGCCACCGTGTTTACAGAAAGATCCTGGAGATGCAGACAAAGGGGAATTTGAGAGAGGAAATGGCTTGACCATGGCAGACAATGACCTTTACTCATCATGGAAAAGTGGTAATGTCTTTGTCCAAATAGTCCAGTAAAACGAATCCGACTGCATTCGTCAGGCTCGATAAATGTTTAGCTACACGCCTACTAATGTAAATAAGAATGGAGGTTTTTAATCAGGGAGAGGTGGGACTGCTGAGTCGGAGGAGTCCGTAACCTGTTTCCTTGTCTAAATGTTGTTTTCTGCTTTCGCTAAAGGAGTAAATTATGTACTTGATATTCTGACTTAGACTCAGGAGGCTAAAGAACACAGCCTGCCAATGGAAAGATCATAACCTTGAATAATTCTCACTGAATCGCATCCCTGTCTGAAATGTGCTAAAAAATAAAGCTTTCTTGCCCAATTCACCTGTTGATAGCCCTTTGAACAACCTCGCTTTGGAGAAACAGAGATCAAACTAGCCATGAGGTGGTGTAAAGTGTCTGTAAACAGTTCTAATCCCTAAATTGCTCTTATCATCACCATAAGAGTCACATCTGATGGCTATTGCAAAAGAATTGTTGTGGAATTCCAGCCAGATGTACTGCAGTATCAGTAGCCATTAGCTGTGTTCTGGTTTTCTGTCAGTGAAAAATGTAAAAACATCATAAATACAAACATCTCTCAAAAACTCCAAAACAAAATAAATCTATTCCAACATAAAGGCTAAAATGTTTTAGACTCAGAAAGCTGCAGCTTTGAAAACTTTAGTTGGTTTTTTTATTTGGAGCGATTACCGTAATTTCCGGACTATAGAACGCACCTCAATATAAGCCGCACCGGGCTAAAAGCCGCAGACATCTACTGAATTGAAAACGTAGTTTAATTGAACGTAACTGAACTGATCAGTATCAAACAAAACAGAAAAGTTGTTGATTAGTTATTCATCATCCTCCTGTACACTAAAGCCATTAAAGTCCTCTTCTTCAGTGTCGGAGTTGAACAGCCTCAGAAGAGCTTCGTCACATACCTTTTCTGTGGCGATGTCAGTGTCGCTGTCCGTGTTGCTGTCATCATCCCCGGGTGAAGCTGGCTTGAATGAGTTCTTCCCGTTGCCGTCTCCAGCGTCGAACCATGGATTCATTCATGCCAAGCTTACGTGCGGCAGCACTGTTTCCCTCCTTTACTGCCAGATCGATGGCCTTCAACTTAAATGCGGCATCATGTGAACTCATACGTGTAGTTACCATGATGAGGGGGTATGGATTTGAAAAAAATTCCTCGTCGTGCCGGCTGCTTGCATGTGCTAAATTAAAATGAGCACTTTCTTTGATTTCCACTTTTGACCTCCACCTGTTTCACTTTCTGCTAAAGCGCCCCCTGCAGGTGAAGGAAAATCTTCAGTAAAGCCGCACCTCATTATAAACCGCATGGTTCAAAGCGTGGGAAAAAAGTAGCGGCTTATAGTCCGGAAAATACGGTAACAAGAACACGTGAGGTGTTTGTTTCTTTGCTGCTCTTTAGTGTGTGTTCACACCTGATGGAGTGTGTTTATGCTATCGCGGGCAGGCCGGACTCCTGCACCAAAGCAGTACCAAGTGAAGGTTCAGGCCACCGAGGCGTCTAAAAGGTGTAAGCTGTCTGGAGAGTATCTGGTGTCCACAGAAAAGGACGATTTGGTTCTGAGTGACATTTCTGGTGGAGTCGTCTACTGCTGGCCCTACAGGCTCCTGCGTAAATTTGGACACATTGAGGTAAAAGAGTCTAAGTGGACACAAGATTAGAGACAGCTTGGTTTTGGAAGTGTGATTTTGTTTGTGTCTGCAGGGAGGCTTCAGCATCGAAGCAGGACGCCGCTGTGACTCAGGAGAAGGAATCTTTGTCTTCCTGACCCAAAACGGGACGGAGATCTTCCAGACCATAGCTCATCAGTGTTCTGTGAAGAAGGACGTGAGTGTCCAATACCTCCAAAGGACATCAGTCCCTGCTGTTGTGCGCCCTGTTGTTCCTCCAGCTGCAGCCGCCCAGGTCCCTGCTCCTCCTGCACTCACAGACAGAGAGGACGGAGACACAGAGGACAGATCTGTCTGTGACTACTCCACCATCCGTGTCCCCTCAGTGGAGGGTGTGAAGCACCTGAGCCTCATCAGCAAGGAGTTGATGGAGGAAGGTGAGGATGAGGAGGAGCGGTGCCACTCCCTGGATGCTATGGATCAGGAGAAGAACAGGGAGAACAGCATTTACTACAACCTGAGGAGAGCCTCGCATCCTTCCATCAGAGAAACCCAGACTGTTGCTCGCGGTTGCACCTACTCCTTTGTGGGCAAACAGAAGTTTTCCTCGGACTCGGACAAATGTGTCGATTACAAACCCTTCAGTCTGCAACTGTCTGCAGCAGACGACAGCGACCGTCGGGCGTACGGCACCCAGGAAGTGGATGACATGAAGGAAGGCGAGGATGCCACAGGCTCCCCCACCCACATCGGCCCCACAGAGGCCCCTGGCAGCTTCAAACACAGACTGGCTGAAATCATTTCCAAGGACATGACAAAGTTCCAGCCACCTTTTCCCTACGGAACCAGCAACCCCATGGTTTTCCAGTAGCTACCATAAAGAGCTGCGATAAACTGTCATGTGGCAGAGTTAGTTTCTTTACTGCTGTAAACCCGGCCGGGAGCATGCTGTCAGGCATCCTGCACTCGCAGATGGTTTTATGTGCTTTTCATATGAAAAATGATTTTTAAATCCATTCTTTATTGTGACAGTTGCCACAAGGAAAAAGGAATTGTTTTTCCATTTTTCCCACTGTGGTGCTGGAGGCTTTGTGCATTGGTTACTGGGCCTGATGAGTCTGTGGTTGGTTAATTAGTGGCTGGTGGACCAGAAAGATCTTTCACACCTTACTTAGAAACAAGTCATTCAGGAAAACAGCAGCCTCCGTTTTGCTTTAACGTGAATACGTTGCTGCCAAAATAAAGGAAAATGCAAGCTCATGTTTTAAACTTTATTATAGAAAAACCTTCATAAAATACAATTTAGCTCCATAAATAGAAAAATACCTGTTTTTATTACAAATAAAATCTACAGTCAGCAATGACACAGTCACCTGATGAGAACCTTAAAGTGCGGAGTTTAGTTACTCTTGTAAGGTGAGTCAACCTGTTTGTCTCACTGTCTCCCACAATGACTGTCCTCCGTGTCGCTGAGGGGGGAGGACTCCCCATCGCTGCTGCTGGAGCAGGCCCCCGATGCGCTGGATTCTAAGCCATGTGGAGGTCCGAGGATGATCAGGTGGTTGATGGAGGCTGGTGGCTCTCGCTGCTGGTGCTGATGCTGCTCTCCGGTCAGCAGGGGTTGGCTCTGCGCGCTGGCTGGAGGGCGGATGGAGTGGATCAGACTCCTCCTGGGGGTCTTGTCCGCCGGACTCCTGCACTCTTTGTGCACCACACCCGCCAGGAGGTCAGACAGCTCCGTGATGTAAATCTGCGCCATCTGGAGGGTGTCATACTTGGATAACTTCTTCTCGTTCTCCAAGGAGGGGATGACGCTCCTCAGCTCGTCGAAGGCTTTATTCAGCCCGTGCATCCTCCTCCTCTCGCGTGCGTTGGCTGCAACGCGCCGGTGTCTCTGGGGACCCAACGCGCCCGTCTTGCCACCATCAGCAGCCTTTCCTCCCTGGCCGGCCTCGACGATGGCTGTCGTTGTGGACATGCACTCGTGGAGTTCTCCCATCTTCTCAGGGGAAAGCCGCGTGTCTGTAGCTGGAAAAGCGCGAACAGAATCAGAAGAAATCCAAGTTTTGACGCTGCCGACCAAGTTCCTCTGCTGCAGCAGGGCGAACTCATCTGGATATTCAGGCCAGCTGGAGAGTTGCGCCTTCGCGGCCATGTCTGTGTCTGTGCGCGGCCTGCAGGTCATGCGCTGCAGCGACAGGTCGAGTCTCGTCTCTGGAGAGGTTTGCGCTGCACCGACACTTTATAGCCTCCCCCAGCCACCTTGCTGTCACTCCCATCCCTCCGACAGCCTCGGGAGGCCGCAGCCCCTGACCCTGTCTCACAACAATCAAACAAAGCTCCACTTTTTCTCTCCTTTTGTGCATTGTAACTCAATCACGACCTCGTTGTTACCCGAACAGAGGGGAGCTGGGGTATTAATCATTAAGGAGCGTGCAGTCAACTGTCTGCTGGAAAAGAAATAGGAAAGTTTGTATGAGAGACTTTATCTGGTCCAGGCGAGTATTCAGAGCTGCCTTTATTTATTTAAGTTCAGAAGTCTAAAGGGTTTACATCCTTTATTCTGAGGCGATCTGAGAGGATAGAGTCCCACAGCAGAGAGACATCGTGGCTGAAACAACAACAAAATGGAAATCAGGATTTCATGAGAGGTTGTTGTCAAAAGATTTGATCATAGGCACTCTGTGGAAACTCTTCAGACTTGTACAAATCTATGAAAGCTCTGAGGAGGCCAGCTACGTCAGATGATCACATCAGACTTTTGTTGACCTCTTTAAACTTTAAATGATGTTTCTAATCCAAAATCTGTCAGAGACATAAATGCTTGTTTCTTCTCATCAGTTTCACCACACCCAGTTGTCTGTCGGGAACGTGTTCATATTTTTGCTAATTGCATCTACGTTCCATCAAAGGTTTTGATGCTCAGCTCTTCAAAGCTGCTCGGTAAGCAGACGACACATCCTGACAGAACGGCGAGGTGATGATATCGCCTTAGAGCTCGAGTGCTGGCACCTTAAACCATATCTCCACACCTCTCGTGGAAAACAAACTTTCCCCTCTTTCTCAGGAGCAAGGCTTAACTGACTCCTTAATTGGCTCTGACCCTGGAGATAGAAAAAGAAAACAAGCTGAAGTTTGTTCTCAAACAGACAGTAAAAGAAGGCCAATCTTTTCCTGCATATTTACAGAAGAACAATAAAAGGAACAGGTGGGAGAGCGGGCCAGAGACACACCTGCCTATGATAACAGATAAGTCGTCTCATTTATGAATCATTTAGCAAGCAGGATGAAAACATCCCTTTTATTAAAGAGTCATTATTTATTATTCATGTTCCCTGTTGATGCTGTTCTTGTGGCAAAATGAAGATGTGGAAGTGGGCGCGAATGATAAACGAGGCCACAAATTTGAGTTTTGGTGCTGGCCGGTGCCTATCAGCTGGTGTCCCCTGGCACCTCACACAAGTCCACACACACACCTCTGCTGCAGACGGAGTGACCCACGTCTCCCATATGCTGCCCCAAGACAACCACCGAGCCTCGACACCCACTCCCCAGAGCTAATCACTCATTAGGGCATCCATTACTGGAGGAGAAGGACACCCGTCCGCTGGGATGTCCCAGAGGTTGCACACTAGTTCTGGGGACTTGGACATGTTTTATAACTCTGAGCCGTCCCCACCCTTCCACCGTGTTCTTCTCAGTGTGTGTGTGTGTGTGTGTGTGTGTGTGTGTGCCGGGGTTGAGCTCTGTCAATGAAAATCAGCGTGACCTGCCTCTCCGCCAGCAGTTTAATGAGCCCTTGATCCTATTGAATAAATCGGCACGTTCTTCTCCTGGGGTGTCCATTCAACTGTTTTTTGGGGGTTGGGGGGGGGGGGGGGGACTGCATGAATATTTCATTCCTTCAGCACCACTGCCAGTGCAACAGCCTGTAACCCTGCGTGCAGACTTAAAAAAACGCTGCTACACTTCCCATCTGGTGCTGGGCGTGAGCGGAGGAGTGGCAGGGGAGGCTGAGGAGGTGTGAGGAACATTTCTGAGGTCAACTTCTACTGACCTTCTGAAAGACACCATGGGGGGGGGGGGGGGAGTGTTGAGGGGGGTGTTACTGTACACAGGTCTAATTTAGTGCATCAAATGCAAAAGTGACCTTTCACAACCACCAGGACTTTTAAACTCATCTAGAGGCTTAAAGGAAAGTCTGAACTTGATTTTATAACTTTAAATATTTTTATTTGGCCAACAAATGAGTGACGTTAAACTTTATTATATTATTCATCTTCTGTAACAGCGTCTTCCTGTGTAGAGCCCATCACTGGTGGCGGACGCCCTAGACAGGACGCCAGGGACACAGAAAATAACCATCAACAACCAGTAACAAACACACCAGTACCCAGCAAGAATGTAGTTAATCTGTGGGTCTGTGGGAGGAAGTCAGAAGACCCGGTGCAAACCCTCTCATGCAAGCGGAGGAGATGCAGAACGGTTTCATCTCAGCGCTAAACCTGTGATCTTCTTGCTGCAAAGCAATCGGGCTTCAGTCTGAGCCACCATGTTTGTTTAAAAAACAGGTATCAACAATTCCATTCATGTATATTTAGTTACACATAACTTTTGAAATTTCTACTCTCCTGTTTTATTTGCCTTGCAGAGATCGTCTCCGAGCCTCAAACTAACAGTTCTGTGTTCGTGGGGCTCTAAATGATGGCGAAGGACAACCGAGACAACTTGGCACCCACCGGGAACTCCTTAAAGGTGCTAAACCAACCTGATTACACAAAGAGCTTCAGTGATTTCACAACTCTTTTCACTGCCACGGCTACACAACGTCTCACCCAGTCAGCGACCGGAGAGCCACAGACGACTGCAGCTCTCCCACGTTGTTTGTGATGGAACCTGGCATCGCTCCCGTCTGGTTATTCCACGACTCTTACTCAGATCCCAATGATCAGCAGCGTAGCTGTTCAACCAGCTGAGCTTCACCAGAGGTCGAAGGTCAAAGCTGCCCTCACACCAGCTCACATTTGTCTGTGCTATTGTTCCTCTCATGCAGATTTTTTAGACAAATTCCAATTTCTTTTTTATTTCTGCTAAATAAAGCGGTTTGAGTGTTTCTCAGGGGAGACGCTCAGAGCCGCTCTGTTGTGTCCCCGGGGACCCGCCGTGGCCCACAGCTACAGCTAATTACATCAACACACAACTTTCAGGATCAAATTAGAAAATGTCCTGCCTTTGACGGTCTCCAGCACTGTAAGCAAACAATCCTATAATGGGTTTGGTGAATGTGACACCAAAGGTGTCTCCTTTTACCCGTCATGGCTGGAAACAGAAGACAACATCCGTTCGGTCGCCAGAGAGAGTAAACACACTTCAGGGAATATAAAAGGAAACTTTTTAAGTTATTCGTTGTTATTTCCTGAAACTAAGAGGAAGTTATTTTGTTCTAAGCCTTAAAAATAAGTTTTAATGTTAAAATATAACTAGGCCAAAATTTAAAGGTAGTTTTATCTGGAAACTCTCTGGAGCTTCACCTTCGTGTGTCTTGTTTCTTAATTAAAGACGATTTAATTCCCTTACAAAAGCCTGGATTTGACTTCAACACAATGGTTGAGCAGAACCAGGGAAGCTGATGATGCTGGAAGCAGTCAACAGTCTGTAATTATCCTCTCCCACCCGAAGCTACGGAGGTGGTTCTCTAGCCAGCTTAATGCCCGGGTTTCGCTCGCAAATTAAGACAATTAGCGGCCTCATTAATTTGGGGAAAGGGAAGTAATATTCTCCTTACAGAAGCGCTTCATTAAGTTAATATTATCTGTGGCAGAGGCCTAATTGTTGAACTCAGAAAGAGAACAGGAAGTGAAGGGTAAAAGTTCAGAAATCCTGTCAGGGCTCGAGCAACTGAGAAGTGAAATGTGGTGATATCTGAAACCGGACCTCCGTGGTCCCATGGAGCAGCAGCTTCACGGCGCCACGTGCCTCTTCAATATGTTTTCTGCAAAAACAGATAAAAGCCATTTTTGATGGTAAGTGGATTTCTGGAGTCCTGCACCCCCCAAAGCGCTTTACAACACACCAGTCACAATGGGGATGAGCTACATGGTAGCCACAGCTGCTCTGGGCCACCCTAGCCCCTCAACATCACCAGACTTTACTGAGCCTGAATAAAAAAAAAAAATGCAGTTTTTTTTAAATTTATAAAAAAACAACAATATTTGTTTCTGCAAACGAACTCTTCAGGAAAAAACCCGCCTCTTATTTAATCTTTTCATTATCTTTCATTTAAGCACATTTCAGACAAAGATGAATGGAGAATGAGTCATTTCTGTGATTTTTACATTTTGGAAGTTGGTGTGTAATCTCAGCAGGATTTTTGAAAACCAGTCGAAAGTCGTCTCTGTGTCAGATTCACTTTTATTAATAGAGCACTTTAAATGTACAACAGTGTCGGCCAGAGCTCAGAACAGTTAAAACAACAAAAATAACACATCTAAGAGAAAAACCCCCCATAAATATACTAAATCAATGTATCAGATTCATCTAAGTGGGTCTTAAAGAACAGAAAGAGACGCGATCACATGAACTAAACACGTCAGAAAGTATAAAAGTCTGAAAGCAGATCTCTGATTAAATTTTTTTTATTTAGGCTGTTTATTTTTCTCAAACCTGCCATGACCAACTCACTTTACTGCCGCATTCATTTGAGTTAACCGTAATAAGTTTACACAATTAACACAACATGTGACTGTGCCACAGGAGTTTTGAGCTCTTGAAGTTAGCATCACCGTCGCTGAGGACGGACGGTATGAGATTTCCGCGCTGTTACAGAACACTTCTTCCACCACTCCACACAGGCTGAGTTATCCGTGTCCATCTTAGAACAATGACTAAGCCCATCGAAACAACCCTAAAACGCTCATGTACGACGGGGTGAAGGCATTTGTGAGCGTGCCGGTTCCCTGTAGCAGCACACCATATGGCAGATAGGAGAACGTGGAGTGGGCTGCAGAGACCCGCTCCATCAAACCAGAGAAGAAAGGCTTCCAGACACTCGAGCATCGGGGACTCTGAGAGCTGTCAGCAGTGGATAGACACTTATTATCCAGTACACTCTGAATAGACCATTGTGGTTGTAACGACATTATTATAAATGTGGAGGGGGGTTTATGGCACGAGTCAGCTAAAACATCTTTAGAGCAAATCCATTCTTATCACAAAAGGCCAAAACTTTGTTCCTACTTTATTAATTATACTTAGCTGCATTTGAGTCGCTGACATTAAGGAACTGAAGACAGATAACAACATTTCTGAAATAAAGTATTTATTCAAACTAGAAAACAGTGACCCATCTCGTTTGGCAGTTCTTCCGAGTTGTTTCTTGCTTCATGAAGTGGACAAACACTTGGATGACTTGTTAACTGGCCTCAAACACTCGAGCCCGACGCGTGTTCTGGTGCATCACGTTGTTCTCATAGTCTTCCTGTCCACCTTTTAAAGTTAGATTAATTGTTATTTCTTTTAGATTTTTAAACTAAAATGTTATTCTAGTTGTTGGTTTGAGTCTCTGTTGTTGCCTTTCGTCATGAATGTAATTCTAATGCATATTTGCTATATTCTTTTTTAGATTATTTACGTGTTTTCATGAGCATTTTGTCTCTTTTGAGATTGTAATGAGATATTTTGACATTTTCAAAGCTAATTAAAATCATTTGCATCTTTTTATTTTTATTTATGACTTTTTAAAAAAGTGTTTGGACCAGGATTATTCGATCCTGGTCCTAGAGGCCCTCCAGGACCCATAACGCTGGTGTAGACAATGGCAACATTTTTGCATCTGATGTCAAACAGTGGCTAAACGGTTTCATGTATCTGGTATGTTTTCCTTTACACAATCTATAAAAATTAGCATTAATTTAAACATTTGTGTAAGATTATAAATATGTCTGAACCTTTGTTGATGCAAATACAAATGCCATTTTAGTGATTCCTGTCAAAAGGATCAGGCTTTAACAATGTCCAAAAAGCAATAACAATAACTAATGAAAATCCATGCTGTAATCTTTAGTCATGTTTACATTTATATATTTCATATTTTAGTGTGGATGTGCATATTTTCATTTACCCGTTAGTTGCTGCAGGTGCACCTGAATTATCCCTGTGGGCCAATAGACCCTTTTACTGTTTGTAAACAATATGACGTCAGCGAGAATGCGCGCGCAGCTTGGCAACAGAGAATGGCGTTGTGTCAGGCTTTATCAAGCTACGCTGCGGGGTTATCACCGGCAAATCTTGAATGTTATATTATTAAACTCACTTTAACGAATGGCAACAGACTCCCGGATCCCTGTGGCATTACGGAATGGGTGGAAGATGTAGGTGCGTGGCCAGATATCCAGTGGCCCAATATGTATACGTTTTTAGTGGAGAGGCCCAGTAAGTACACACGTGAGAAGTACGGGCATACAAATTGTTAGATGCATACAACTATGTTGTCTGTGGCCACGTACAGAAAGTAAAATATCACGACATAGACTCTGAGTTTTGCGTCTTGAAGGCAGAAGTCCTTCCTAGCCAAAGACAAGGACCAAAGACTGCTATGTACGAGGCTTGGGTCATAGTAAACAAACCAGAGAACTACGTCTTCACAGCCAACTGTACCTGCATGGCAGGGTGAGTGTAGCATAGGTTTCTTTTTTTAGCGTGCTCAGAGTACAATCGTGTTAATTTTAGAGAAATACAGTTTATACTAATATGCAGTGGGAAAATACAGATGAATTAGAATGAAATGTTAATTTGAAGCATGAAATAAAGCATATAAATTTGTTTAATTCTGTCATTTTGATGTTCCAGACTTGGGTCATGCTGCAGCCACGCAGCAGCAATTTTATTCAAAGTTGAGCTTTGTGTTAGGATGGGAAAAACAGAAAAGGCTAAAGTTACATCTCAGACATGTGCATGGAAAGACCTGAGCAGGAAAAATGTAGAACTTCGGAATTCTGTAAAGTTCCAGTCCACTGCTTGAAGAGAAGCGATTCTGGCATCCACACACGCAACAACCCGACATTTTTATGTGCTCAGAACTTCAAAACAAAGGGTTTAAAACGCTGTTTTAGTATCGAGTGTGAATGAGGAAGCCTTCACTCTCGTTGCCAGGCTGCGCGCGCAACTTTTGATGACGTAGGTAGTAAAAGGGTCTATAAAGGACATTTCTTTTCCATTCTTCTCTACTGAAATAATTGTGTAATATGGCCATCTACCACCAGATGGAGACAACACAACACACCACAAACACTCAAGACCTTACTGCAATAGAACAAGGGTGGGTTCATGTTTCAGTCAGATGTACCAGAATGCACATTTCGGAGCTGCCTGTCAAACACAAACCCTGCAGGAGATGAAGCGGATATAAAGATGGAAGCTTGAGTGACAGTCAGAAATCTGAGGTGTGGAGACACAAGGAGAACGCACCCCCAAACTGTCCTCCAAATGGCTTTTTAAAAAATGAAGTGTGAGCCACAGACGACGATGTTTCATGTCCTTTCAGTCTTCAAGCTTGAGTGGCGTGCGGCCGTCAGTAGAGAGCAGTAGTGATCTGCGTTTGGGCCGAGCGGAGGCACTCGTCGTTAAAGATGAACAACACTTTGTCCACTGACCCCTCTGACCTTGTGCACTGAATGAAACGTGCAGCGCAAAATGAGAGCCGTTATGATGTGACCATCACAGAATCAGGGACGACTGTTTTCGCTAAGCGGTCCCTTTAAAGTGAGTGACCTTGAGCGTCTTTAATGTCCGTGGAAATCACTCTGGATTAATCCTCACAGCGTCTCTGACATGATCCGTCTGTATGTCTTTTACCGGTTCAAATTCCATTAAAACCTGAGCTTCTTCAAGTGACTGACAAGAGAGAGGGATGATGGGAGGAACAGGTCACAATATTTAGCAAAAATAATTTATATTTCTGTCAGAGAGAGTGCAAGAAGATTACTTCATTCGTTGGATGGTGACAGCCACCAACAACAGCAATTATAATCATCTGATCCATGTAATTTGCATTAAAGATCGTTGATAAACCGTCAACGTGGATTTTCTTGGGTCAATAGTTAGATTGAGAATCGTTTCCGTCTGGACTGACATTTACCTGTAACTCAGATTTTGCACCCTTTGTGTTCATGTTGGCAGCTTTTGACTGTTTGTGTGAAAATTTCAGCTTCATTTGTTGAACGTTTAAGAAGAAAAAGAAGAAAAAAACCTTAGATGACAGGAAGAGATGATGCCTTTAGTCAGCGGCACAAGGGGGGGTCTGCATAAATAAGGTTTATTATGAAAAGAGCAATGCAGTGCACCTGCTAGCTAATTGTTCCCATGCTGACACTCTGGATGGGTGTGATCTCTCCTTTTAAAGCTCAGCTTCACGTGTGTGAGTGTGATTTGGGAGTGGTAAAGACCGAGAAACGCAGGGAGCCGGAGGAAGCACAAGCCTGCTGCTGATGGCAAACCACATCTTAATCCAAGCGGAGCTGATCTGCTGCTTTAATCCCTCAGTGATTTCCATCTGTAATGTGAATTACTGGGGATGCCAGAGGATTTATGAAGGTGGCCATGGCTTCACTGAAAGGCATACTGTCCATCTTTAACGTCATAAAAATGCATTTACACCAAACATGTGTTCCGGAGCCCCCAGAGGCTAAGCAGAAGGGAACATTGTTAGTATCTTGTCCTTCATTCTGATCCTCAGTGAGCAAAGTTCACATACAGGCATGAGGGAAAGTGAGATATTGGCCATGTGAAGCTGCAAGCAGAGATGGATGAGGCTAGGGAGGCAAAGGTTGTGGGATGAGTGAGGCAGAAAGACGAAGCTGGAGTTTGCAGCTGGGAGGAGGTGCAAGCTGCTGCTAAGGGTGAGAGGCGCAAAGGATGTGTTATTCCTCTGATCGCTCAATCACAAGCAACCGTGAACCATTCCTACCCAATAGTTTGACTCAAAGCCCGGTATCAGATCGTCTTCTGCCGACGAGCGATTTGCTTTTGCTTTGAGATGCTTCTTTTTTATTCTTCTTCAAAAAGAAATTTCCAAAAGCAGCCCTGTTGCATTCACATTTGGGGGCAATAACAAGCTAAATTTCATTTGAATGATTTACTCAGCTGGAGAAATGAAGTAAACATACAAACAGAAAGGCAACACTAACATGCTGATGCACAGACTGAGCTCACTGACAGCCATGAAAATGCATTTCTTGAATATTTTCCTCTGTGCAACTGTGGCTCACAACAAATAAGATTTTCAAAACAGAGCTAACTCAGATGTACACGAACGTGCTTCACAAGTACAGTTTCAAACTGGCTGGTTCCTTGAAGTCATAGATTTTTTTCTTGCTCAGGAATTGTCTAAAGAAAGAAAAACATCTTTAACAAATATGTACTTTTAGCGTTTGTACTCAATGCATAACTCTGACATTTAAGTTATTGAAACACTTCCTAAAACAAA